CGAATACATGATTTGTGAGTAAATATGTGACACGCAAAATTATTGATCACCGTCCAATCATTAAATAGTTTTAGTTGTTAGCTACTGTTCATTACTTCTCTTTCAATGTATCTTCCTTGAAGTTACGTTTTAGTTAATTTTTCTAGGGTGAATGTTATAAATTATTTGTAAATTGTTCAAATCCACATTGAGGTATTCTATTAATATATGTATGTATACATTTGTAAACTGAGTGGTTGAATCACACAGATATCCGTCATATAAATCAATCTGTCAAACCAACTGAATGAAACTAAATTAAATAGACAATCAGTTCAATTGGATATGCTAGCTTTAAATTGAATATTTATTTAATTATTCGTGGAGAGTTGTTTAATTATGAAATTGTCTGCATTTCGAACTGACTTAATCTAGATAATTACCTTTCACTGAACAGTTGTTTCACCTTAGTCTTGAACTATTCAACAACAGTTCACATCTATGATTCTGCTGGAATTCAAACCTAGGAAATCTAGATCTCATGGTAATGACATTTCTTTTATATCACCATATCAGTAATGGTCCTTACTTTCTGTTATATCCTCCGTCAGTCAGCTACAACGTAGGAACAGGCAAATATATGCATCGGTCCAAGTTGCCATACCACATTAGCACAGCAAGATGAACACTGGATTCATAGACGTAGTTACTTCGATGGGGGCAATATATAGAAGAAAGATTGCATATAAGGAGATAGTACAGGAAGAAAGAGTTAGTTCGTAGAAAGAAAGATATGAAGCGATTTTAATCTCTGAATTTAAAGGAAGACAGAGAGTGTATACACTTACGCCATTGTGATCGATTCTAAGCCATGTCACCAAGAGTCTCCAACCATTGGTTACGATAGTCACACGGACCCCAACCAGGTAGTCTGCATCTACCAACATGGCTCAGACCAGAAGTTAGTGACTTCAAGCACTGATGCCACGTTTTGGTTTGGCCGCCCTTAACTTTCTTCCAATCATCCCTAACACCAGTTAGCATTGCGCGTCGTGGTAATCGGTGTTCAGGCATACGCAACCTCACTATTACTTACCTGGTGATCCCAGCAGATGCGAGCAATATTTCTAAGGCATCTGTGGTCAAATACTAGTAACTTACGAGTATCTTCTACTCTTAATGGCCATGTTTCGCAGCCGTATAGTAGAACGGAACGAACTGCCGCGCAGTATACTCGTCCCTTAATTGATAGACGGATATCTCGCTTTCATCATAGGTAACGTAAGTTGGCGAAAGCCAAACAAGCTTTTCGAATCCGTGCTGAGATTTCGTCAGACACCAACCCATTAGGGCTGATCAGACTTCCAAGATAAGTGAAGTTGTCAACGCGTTCGACTACTGCACTTCCTATCCTTAGTTCAGGTGTTGACGCAGACCAGTCCTGACGCAACAACTTGCATTTAGAGGGAGGGAAGCGCATTTCAAACATTCTGTCATTGTTGCTTAGTGCTACCAGAAGACTGCATTTTATCAGCGTCCTCACCAAGCCGAACTATGTCATCTGCGTATTCTAAGCGATATTCCGACTGACGAACAAGTCGTGTGATAATTAGCCGGGCTTAAAAGTCATATCACTTCCAACTTCAGTTAGTTGATGTAGCAAACCTATCACCCAGTTTTCTGGATGATACGTTTTCCAATTCTTTGAGAATACATTACACTAATATTTTTTTCACATGTTTGTGAACGACTAGTAAATTAGATTCACATTTACTTAATTTATTTTGATTGACGCATCGGTTTTATTTTCTTTAAAAAATGTTGTTGGATTTGTTCATATTTCTTTATAAAACGTTAAAAAATTCTACAAAAGAATGATAGCTTTGAATTATCTAAACTAAATTACTATTATTACAAGCTGACTATAATCGTCGTTGTCTTTCTTGACCTTGATTTATTGATTTGCCGATTGATAACTCAATCTAAATTTTTCCGACTTAATTCCATACAATAGAGTTCAACCGGGTCTGTTGCTAGATAGTAACTCACTGAAGAGAATGGTGAATGTGTCGCTCAATTTCGTGGATCAGTTGAAGTTAGACATTAACACCATTGGATGTTGGCTCAGTGGTTTAGAGGTTAAGCGTTCGCGCGCGAGACCGATAGGTCCTGGGTTCGAATCTCGCGACGCAGGATCATGGATGCGCACTGTTGAGGAGTCCCACAATAGGACGAGACGCCATCCAGTGCTTCCATGTTGGTCTAGCTTCAATTGACTCATGATCTCAACTATTGAAAGTAATAGCTATCAGTTTAATCATCTCAATAATTTCAGTATTTTTATCAAAATATTAGACTTTCAGTACAGGTAGGTTCAAACATTCAATTTGTTAACGTACTTTAAGTGGAACAATGACTCAGTAGTTAAAGTATTCAAAGTGCAACCACTAGATAGTAGATTCAAATCTCACTCCACTTATTTCAATCTGAGGTGGTGTATAGTATCACTGGTCATCACTCGAGTATGTATCTGGTGAGTTGTAAAAAATACGTTTCTTAAAATATATTGATGAGAAACAAATGAAAATTATTATAAATCGTTAATTAACAATAATAGTCATTAGTATTTCACTTAACTAAGAATTGAACAGTTTAATGATCTAATTAAAATGATGTTAGATAATCCATTGTTTCTTTCGTGTGATTAAAGTTGTACTTTAGTCGTTTAAGTGCATGATCTTTAAGTCCATTCGTTCACCAATTCAACTTAGAATTCATTCTACTTGTTCCAGTTAATTTATTTTTTAGCATAGAACTGATTTATGTCGTGATGAAACATATCTATATTTCTACATTACTTATAATTATATAGTTGGACGTTTAAAACCTGTGTACTAATTTGATATTTTAAGATCTTTTCTAGAAATCACTTCGATATCCATCGAATACAAATGATAAGTATTGTGTGAGGATATCAAGCTAAATGATAATGTATTTCGTTACCCTGTATATAGAACCATACAAAGCATGGGAATTGGTTACAATAGCTCAGATGCATTCACTCACTTCTTTCCTTTATGTCCCAAGGTTCAAAAAAATCTTATTTCACGAATTCATTCTTGTTTCTCAATTCGTATTATTTATGACTCATCTTTTTTCTACTGCCATTACTGATACTGTTACTACTTCTGTTTCGGCATTTGTCTTGATAATTTCATTTCGCTTTGCTATAATGGTTTGACAACTTGAAACGATTCACATATGTACCAAGCACTATATTGCGCACGACTAACTGTATAAAGCACAATCCGTTCTTAGCTATTAACCCCACAAGTAACTGTCAAGTTGTATCTCTGTCTACTTTTACTTACATCCATATGGCATTTAAGAACGTTTGAATGTAATTGGATTTTTTTTTCTTGTTGTATAGACTAGTCTTACTATTTAATGAATTTTTACTTTAACTACGAGATTTGTCCATATTATTTCTTTGTGTCTGACTTGTTGATATTTACATCTGTTCTCTTTTGCTTTGTTTTTTATTATATATTTATAGCCTGATCACCCAATTAGAACAGCTGATGATAATTTAATAGAGAAATTACAAGTTGTCTTCAATAAAATAGCTGGTCCAAGTGGAGCAATCACATATACTCAATTACAAGATATATTAAATGAAGCATTTACAAGAGGTAATCTCCAGTAGAGTTAGTTTATTTATTAAAAATCTCTTACTATTCATACATATATGCTCATGAATGCAGACATACTAAAGTTCCTGGGATATGATCTGTTGATATTTATATTAACTATTATCAATTGCTTGAGACACTTATCAATTAATCTTTCAGATTTTGGAAGTTTATGTTAACAATGAAAACAAAACCGGTTACTTATTCGAATGTAGTAGTTAGTGTCTAAGAGAGATAGCTAACACATTATTTTCGTACACTTTGGAAATCAAGAGACCTGTATTGTAATCAAAGTATTATAAAGTTGACTTATAAAATTTGAACAATTATTTCACGTTCACTGCAATCCTTTCTCGTTCGTATCCAGTGTGTATTATCGTTAAATCTCACTCTATATATACGTAGGACATATAACTAGTTGTAACTGTATGTGAATATTGTGATGGCAACTCACCAATATCACGCGACAAAAACACCAATCGAAATCCATCTCATCACCAATAACTTTATGTCAAAGATGAACACTTATTTGGTTCTAGATTCAGTAGCTTCTCTCCCTACAGAACACAGTAATCAATCTAGACAACACGAATATTATTTTTCAAACATAGTGAGTTTATATACATACATACCCGACCATAAAATAAAAAATAATTATACACGATCGAGCCAAAAAGTGGTTGTGATTAGGGGAGTTACTGTGAATAATAAACTGACAAAGGATTAAGAATAGTAAACAATACAACATTAGTTAATGGGTTAACCGGAAACTCATAATAATAATTATACAATAAAAACATATATATTCATGCGATCAGAAACATATCTGAGTTATTCAGAATAATATGACGAAGGTTATCTGCGGTGTTTTCAATATACAGTGTATTGCACCTAGCGTTTCCAGACAATTGTTTCATCCATTTAGTGAATAAGTACTGCGTAATTGAGTTTAATTTTCACAAACTATTTAAAATGTCTGGAATTATCCATAACTGTCTGTTATAAACTGTCAGTATAGCACAACTCAACATAATGAAAAGAAAAATTATGAAACTTAAGGTTTGAAATAAAGTCTTTCATGATAATTATTTTCTAATATACACCACTCATATAAATTAAATAGGACATTAGTTGAAAGTTCTGGATGAAACATTGAAGGTGTTGCGGGTGACTTCAGACGAACAAGTTGTGTAAATGATACCAACTGTATTGACAGAATTTACGAGTGGGGAACAAATGTTGTACAACTTATTCAAAATACTATATATATATATATATATATATATATATATATATATATATATATATATATATATATATATCAAATAAGTGCCTTCAGTCAAAAAAGACTATTTCAGAGTTTTCTTCCGACTAGCTTCAAAAGGGTAACATTAAACTTTTTATCTATCTAGTCGATGCATTCACCATGAAATTTTTTTATCTCAAAATATCATGAATAGCAAATGGTTTTATCAGTTTTATATGAATATGTAAATCTTACGGGATTCATTATAGATAACCTAAATCCTGTCGCCAGAAGTTCAAATATTGATTATCCTAAAAAATAACTGAGAACTATTGAGTAGCGGCTAATCATACAAAGATGAGATTTTAAACCAAGCTTATTATTTATTTATCAATGAAAAAATGTCAATAAACTCTATGGCGGTATCGTGTATTTAATCAGTCTTTTAATCCAACACTTGAGTCGGTTTCCCAAACTCTTCTAATAACCTCAGGCTAGATCTACATGACAACTTGAACATAAGAGGAAAGGGTGAGAAGTTTGAAAATAAAGTATTACTCCAACGTTTGTTCATGTACAGAAAATCGAGGGTATTTATAGTATTTCAGATGGCCTTGGATTCTCGAAAGGTCCTGAAATCATACTAAGTATAGTAGCAGGATAGATAACCATTCAATCAGAAACGTGGAACGCGATTCCTCCCCTTCTAGATGTTTCTGAGAAGCTTCTGTTCAACTCTGAATGGATATAATGTTTCCTAGCTTTTTCAAAGCCTCTGAAATTTTCCGAGGAATTCTTTGGATCTCCTCAATAGTATCAATATTGAATTATCACCTATATCAGATAATACGTAACAAGAAATAAGAATAAATGATTGACAAAGATTATTTTTTATTGTTGGTTATAGTATACATTAAAAATTAATGCTTTCATACCCAACTCAGAAAAAAACTCAAAATTGAATAGTTTAATTGATTCAATTTTCTTTAATTTATTTCTGTCGATTTTTTTACTTAGATTTTCCATTCGATGGATTTAGTCGAGAAACTGCTAGAAGTATGATGGCCTTAATGGATGTATCCTTTTGTTTTTATTTCTGTCTATGGAAATTTAATTTTAGACTAGCAGTTTTGCAATAAACCTTGGAGATTATTAATAATACGATTTATTAAAAGGTGGTTGTGCAATATTGCGAAATGATTGATGTTAAACAATATAAATGAGTAGATGTGTTCTCGATTAAACTTGAAGTTTCTGAAATCGGTCTCCGTTAAGGTTGTGGATGTGTACTACTAAAGAGCCCCATTATCAGGATGAAACAGCTACTCAGTGTATTCATGTTCTTAATGATTATCAGTGCTTTATGCAAACTAAGAAAATCAGCAATCTTCACAATCACAAAATGACATTAACTGGAAGAATAACTGAAAGAAAGACCTAGAAGCATTACACAGCTAGCCACTTCGTCTTCTTTTATCACAGCTTAGCAATGTATGGAAATGCTATCATTACTTGAGTCAGATTCAGAAAAATATTGTTTTTGATATATTTTCTTCTTACACGTAGATGGATTCGATTGCTTTTTTTTCTGTTATTTACAATACCATATCCAGATAAATTTGGTACCAATGATCTGCATGTTCTTGCTCCTTTAGATTTGATCACATTTTGCTTGACTTGATTGATAAGTTAAATGTTGATTCAAAATACAACTCAAGGTACTACCTAAAATGTTGTGTCCATTGTTAAAATTAATGTATCAGGTGGTGGTAATCAAGATTACCAAGAAATTTCAAGTATCGATTATACTAATTTATTGAAGGTAAAGTGTTATTTCAACGTAATGTAAGTTATTGAAAGGTCTTAAGTATTGAATAAACTGAATGTTGCATCATTTATCAAAGCAATCAAGAACTAATGTCATAGTTTTGAAAGTAACAAGTAATAATTTACACAATAAAAGCAAATAATAACTGACTACCTTTTAAAAAAAAGAATATTAAGAGTAAAATGATAATTAGCACTCACGATTTGTAAAATTCGGAGGCTTGCTGGGACCATGGAATAATAAGGTATTGAGCATGACTATTTTGTACACAGAGGTCGGATTTGAAATGGTGCATTTCTATAGCCTCAACTGTACAACAATTTTTCATCAAAACCTTTTTTTATGCCAGTTTTTCTTTGCATATCATTTACGAAAATGATTCTCCGGTTGGAATGTGACCGGAGTTGACCATCTATTCAAGGATTGAGATTGCGCTTGATAAGCAAATATCTGAATAGTACTCTGTGTGGCTATGTGAAGGAGAATGCAAATCAATCAATACTTCAATCCATGAACACATGGTCAATCCTGGCTACACCCTATCACGAAAATCGTATTTTCTCCGTTTGTAGATTATTGGATGCTGCTCATCATGCTTCACTAGTCCGATTTACATTCCCCATCTACCTTCTGATATTATTGCTTTAATTCCTGTTTCCAAACTCCATTCTTACCCTATTTATTTGTAACTACTTCTAGTGTGCGATTTGTGGAGTATGATAGCTTCAGAGTTTGATTCTACACTTCATTAATTAAGGCAATTCAGTTTATATTACTTCTGCCATTTTGACATTTGATTTTGTTAATCTCGCTGTGCTGATATAATGTAACATTTTGAATCGATGCATATGTGCCAAGTTCTACATTGCTCAGGCTGTAATCCAGCTAAATAGCTTGGATTTATTTTTTTATTAGATTATCATTGGCTTTGTAGTACTTATAAAATGAACGTACATTTTAATCCCAAGTTATATGACTAATCAAATTGTTTATATTATCCTTGACCATGTTCCATAATATCATGTAATGTAAAATAGGCTGATTTAAGCGGTGGTTTGGGCTTTGATGAATTTAAAAAGCTATGGATGGAACTACGCATTTGGAAGGTATTTTCATCTTGTAAATTGTTTTAAAAATTTGCCATGTTTTATAGTACGTTTCTAAAAGAAAAGTATAATTTGATATAGTATGTTCGCCTGTGTCAACTACTCCATTTTAATGTGAATGACGACGGTGGCGTCAAGAATATTGTTAGTGTTTTGGGAATTTCGAATTGATTCAGTCGTGTAATTTTATTCTAACCTAGTTAATTATATAGAATAATCATATTTTATTCCTATAATAACTGTATGATCTAGAACAGGACGAATAAAGTGAAGAAATGAGGATTCTCATACTATCCTTGTATTAAATTCATTCATGCGCTGTCATTTTTGGTTTCGTCATTAATACGTACACCCATACAACCGAGCTCCCTTTCAAATCCAATCACATTCACATAATATCTTTGTTCTTGTGTCACAAAAAACAACTGTCATTGTGGGTTAATTTTTGCAATGTTCCCATTCTAGGGACAGTATTTGGAAACAAACGTACTAAACAGAAGTTAATATCATCTGGATAACTACTTCCAATCATATCTGTCAATTGTCCATGGTGAGGTTCACCAGTGAAATTAATGACACTTTTAAACACAGTACTACTTTGAACGACTAAAATATTAACGTCCTTGAGTAGATTATTATGCGACACTACTCTCTCAATTACTTCAATAACTGAATTTCCACTGTATACAGATATCTAGGTAGTATCAACCATTATACTTGCTGAAGTCTTTTAATTGTGGTTTGGACGCGAAGACTAAACTAGAATTCGTAATATAATAAAGATATTTATTTTGAATCCGAATAGAGAAAGCCGACTTGGTTTTTAATGATACTAAAAATTTGTGGTGGAATTAATTAACGATTGAATATTGAAAGTAATCCTAACTTATCAAAAAATCATAAGAGAGTTAAGCAATTCGATCCGAAGGAATACGTTGGACAACTGTTATACATTATTATCTTCATTGCGGTCACAAAAGTGGTAGCTAATCATCATATCTTTTTCGAATGTTTAATTTAGAAGTAGACTTGTAATGACTCTCTTTTCTCGAACCTAATTTATTCATTCCTTAAGATTAGATTTATGCATGAAACTGATTATGAATATTTCTTATCAATTTAGGTGTTGTGGAGATTGTCAATTTTTTGATTGATATCATGAACCGATTGATGTTAGACCACCATTGAAAACCTGGAAGCACTGGACGGCCGCTTCGTTCTATTGTGGGACTCCGCAGCAGTGCGCATCCACGACCCCGCTCGCAGAATTCGAACCCAGGGCCTTCAGTCTCGCGCGCGAACGCTTAACCTACTCGACCACTGAGGCGGCATCCAACGGTGTTAATGTCTAAACCCAACCAATCCACAATAGGACGAAACAGCCGTCCAGTGCTTCCAGGTTTTCAATGGTGATCTAACATCAATCGGTTCATGATCTCAATCAGAATATTTCTTAATTTTTATTTGCATTTCCTCTAAACCCAACAATTCATGATTTCAGACTATTTTCAAAAAATTCGATGAAGGTCATACTGGTAGCTTAGAAGCTTTCGAATTGAGAAATGTAATGAGGACCATCGGTGAGTGAAGAAAATCGTTTTATCTCATTTGTCAGGTATATATTCGTGTACTTGACCTCGAGTCAGATTAAGTGTGAATACTCGGTTGCTAAAAGCGAAGTAGATTAAACTGGCTTAGAACCTGTCACTTAATGTAAACCAAATTGCTCATAAACATAATTTATAATATAAGAAAGCAATACATGACAAAGATTAAGAGCCTAACATGATCTATGGAATAATGTAGTCCGACGGTACATATTGTTGACTCTGTGTAAAATAAACCCATTCAAATATCCAGTTTCCGACAAGGTGATATAATTTGAAATCCACTCTTAAAAAGGAAAACCCCTAAAAATCAGGATTGGATTCAAAGAACATCTGAAGTGACGAACCCGAACAATTGGGAACTTCCACATTACATTGAGGTCGAAAATTCTACCAAAAAGCATCGATGTCGGTTTACACTAAAAGTCAAAGACGTATAAACCACTCAGGATTTTTAAAGTACAATGAAATCATAATTCCTGATATAAAGGAATGACATTAATGTGTATGTATACTTTATTTTCTATGTTTGGTCTAAAACATGTGAGCTGCAAAGCACTAGCTATAACCATACAATAATTGAGACAAAAAAAGCCAACTGCACATAATTATACAGTGATAATCGTGGACGGGCGATTTAAAATAGAAGTGACGAATAATAACTAGGATTAATCGATCTTATCCCAAGCATTCCTAATCCTTGGTTGCAATATTTATCCAGCCATGTGTTTCTTCCAAATTTTTTGAAGGGATTGTGTTGATCAATAGTGTATTCTAGGTATTCTATACAGATCGTGTGTACAGTATTGTATTTGTATTTTTGACCATTACAATCAGTTAGTTAGTAATTACCTACTTATGTATCAAACTTAAAATACAATCACCTCGTCTTTTTATTTGATACGTGAATGCACTGAACATAATCCTTGTAGTGACATATAGTCCGGTATCGTATTGTTGCTATTAGACAATAATACATTTCATAATCATCCAGTGAGTGATCTTATATACTCTGGACCTAGTAGTGATGCATTTTAATTCTCATTATGCTATCACACGCGATAGTTATCATTCTGTCTATTAATCGCATGTTCATTCTACTAAAAAAAATGAACAAGTTTAAAGCATTGTACAGAAACAAAATAGTCCAAAAGTGTGACATAAATTAATCGGTTAGTTCACGAAAATATGGATTTACAGCATGAAACGTTGACCATTACTTTAGTTGATACAAGCTATTTCTTCTACTTACCAAGTAATCCTCTAATCCTTATATTTTAAATATCACGAAACTACCAAATTTATTTGTTTTCAATAATATGGTTATGATCTTATACGAAATTCTTTTTTCCGTATTAGGTTTTCATGTCAGTAATATGATTTTCAAGGCTATTGCTTGTCGATATGCAAATGAAAAAGGTCAAATTTTATTTGATGATTACATTTTGCTATTGATCCGACTATCTACTGTTTTCGAAACATTCAAAGCACAAGAGCGTACTCGAGATGGCCGAGCTGTCTTCGGAGCTGACGATGTAAGTTTGAATTAGATAGTCTGTTCGAAACTAAGTTCTTGTATGTTACGTGATTGGGGATAGTCGGGAGGGAACCATGGATCTGGGTTTCTTACCAGTTGAAAATTATCAGCAAGACACTAACTACACTTTAGAGGAAACTAACGCTTCCCGTGGTATTCAAACCCGCACTACCAGGTCTTAGTCTGTGACATTACCACTGAGATATTTAAAATTGATTGGTCAACTAACATCCTAACATAGGGCCTGCGTTATCGAGTCACTCAGATTAGTGGCCACATTGCAATTTGGTCAGCACCAAAAGACCAGGCAAACGTGACATTGGTCACCACATAGTGAACAATCAAGTGTAATAAATGGCATACTATACTGGCAGTGTACAGAAATTTAGAATTCGAAAAACGAAGCTGTATGGAATATAATTCAAACGTACAGCCCTAGCTATACGACCAGTAACATAAGGAACAAGAGAATGAAGAAATGTCTCATGTTGAAAATGGTCATCAGCTGTTGCATTGGCTACCGGTATATCTTCAATAATGGATATACACAAGATAAACTTCGAATGACATTACCAATGAATCATTGTAAGTTTGAGTTGAGTTAGGCAGAAGTAAAATTTCATACAGATCAGAGGGTGATCACTGCAGTACTTGAAATATCTGGCGCTATGGGGACATGATATAAGCGATCATCGCAATAACTATGATTTTTATGTGGAGAATAAGCATTCAGCTCTACAAAGTGTCTGTACTAGCTCAACAAAAACTGTGGTGACAACTTAAATTTTATATGTTGTTAGTAAGCACTTTCCAACCTGTATTCCTAATCTTCACTTGTTTCATATGATGTACACCCTGTGTTTCAGAAATTTAACATCAAATCTACTTCGTAACTGTTTTTAACCAGATTTTCCACATGCTTTTAACTTATATCTTACGCAAAATTATCCTACTACTTCCGGGAATATTCCACAGAATTTACCAGAATAGATTTCAAGTGTGATGCATCAAATCTTTTTTTCTAATATAGACTCAGTAGATTAATGCTTAGCACAATTCATCGGACTACATACCAACCGGATTATTAATGTAGTTAGAAATTATCTTTGTATAAGACGGATGATTTTCACTAAAGCCTGGTTTGTTATTTACTATGGACTATCCGTTGCAAAAAAGAGCTGTCTCAGTGATAGAATGTGCTGCAAGCATCTTCAAATCATGTTGTCAACTTATCGCTTCACATTACTATGCATTTCTTATTTTAGTAGTGTATGAATTGTATTTTCCAATACGCTCATTCTTATTTTAATCTACTGCTTAGTATATTATACATGCATTCTTCATTCGTTTTGTTTTTTCCAGTTCATTCGCTCAGTTATATATATTTAGAGGCCCAAATTAAACCGCCATCATAATAATATTTGTGAATACAGGTATGAATGTATGATACATATACACACAACAAAAGAAACCGGCTACTTGTATGTGTATACAACTCTTACAGAGATGCCGATAGTAACAATTGGATTATTATTTTGCTATTTGCTTTTTTTTTAATTTTGCATGCTCAAAAGAAAACTTATAATATATTTATTACCTTACAAAATGTCATATATAGCTTTTGGCAAGAGATTTTCTGGCACAGAAAACACACTGGTTTGTTTTCATTTACGTTATTATTAACCGTGTTACAAATAGTTATTGAAATTGTCATAGAAGGTTGAATCAATGGAGCCAGTATAGTACAGTAACAGATTTTGAAGTTTTGTTCTCTGAACTGGGTGGTTTGGTCGTGGAGCTGTCATCGCCATTCTGAACAACATCATCAGCACAAACCTCAGGTAAAAGTGAAGTATTCAATTTTCTCTACATGATTCAGCTCGTCCTGTAGACCTCGATGTTGATTGGGTCTTGTTGACCTTCAACTTGTCATTGTTTATTTATTTGTTTTTGTCTCCCATTGATTTGATTCTTGGTCCTATACTTGCCCATAATTTTTCTGATTTGTTGATAAATTGGATCGATTTCAATGTGTTTGTTAACTGCTGATTGACCTGAGTGCTAAGCTTCTAAAAATTCTCTGGTGTCTTTAGAATTGCCCTTATCCAGGATTTCAACATTTTCCCAGTCGAATGTATATCCACAGCTGTTCGCATGCGTTAAAATAAGCGGGGAAATGTCATGAAGTTTGACCATCAATTGATGTCCGTGCAGGCGAAGATGAAAGGAACGTCCACTTCGCCCGATGTGGTTTTTCGCAGTTGGAACGATCTACTTTGTAGATGTTCGGTTCTTCTTTTGTTATTTCGTCCTTTGGTTTGCATGGGATTGATCGCTGTGATTTTGTTGGTTTGTTTGCTACACATGTTCCAAACGACTTCAATAATCTCGTTGTGAGTTCTGATATGTATTTTATATATGGTAGGATGATCCGTTTGTTGGTTTCTGTACCTGGTTTTGTCTCTGCTGATGACGAGCTAAAAAACACCTAAATCTGACCATCAACGTCCTCGATGGCTTAAAGTTAACAATGAAACAGGATGTATTAATCATCAGAACCGACACAGGAAAACTGAAGACTCAAGTATACCGGAAGTCGACCAACACAGATCAAATTCTCAATTACAGTAGCAAGAACTCACAAAATCAACTGTGTACAAACTTCATTCAAGGGGGCGAGAACACGCTACAACACACTTTCAGCACGGAAAATGAAGGAAAACATCTAAAAAGCATCAACCAAACGCATAAGCAGAATCAAAATCAGGACAAGCTGCGAGTCATATGTGGAGAACTTCAAACGCTTCACTTCTACTTGAAGTTTGTGCTGATGTCGTTCAGAAGAACGATGAAAGCTCCACGACCAAACCATCCAGCTCAGAGAACAAAATCATCCATATGGGACACAAATCTCCACCATATCACTGTAACAGATTATTTGCCTACTCATCAAAATAAACACTGTGAACACGCATAGACAGAATATATGTCGCTTTTTTTAATTTTACAATACTATATTCATATCGATTAAACTAGATTTATCAGTAAACTGATTCTGTGGCTTCTAGAACTACATAAAAGAGGAATTAGTCGCTCTGTTTAAAAGACGTAACTTGTCGAATTATTGGGCTATTATACATACTGGGTTTGCTGCGAAGAGAGACGCTTAGTTTTTTTCGCATTAATCGTTTCTCGACTCCATACAAGTTTTTCAGTATGTGTTGTGGAGGCAAGACGCTGTGCAATACATTACGAATAATAACAAATTATCCCAATTCTAGAACAAGGAGATTGGAAGACAAACGCTTACTGATTCCGTCCATTATATATTACAAATCCTGTTTTTCATTACAACTTGTTGAATGATACAATATCTACAGACTGGACATGTTTCGAAAACCCCTTTATAGATTCTTCAAGGAAGTCAGTTCCAACCTAAAAGTAAACAGAAGTAGGAATTTATTATATAGATATTAGATTTGACCAGCTTTATCACCTAATGTTATTTAACTCTGTGATCAAACTGGACTTAGGTGTCAAATCAAAAAGTAGTGAAAATGCTTACTTGTTAAAAAAAATTGTGATTTTAAGTGTTGGACAAAATAGCTATGCAAAAGATTGCCTACACATAATAGCCTCAGTGATTTGTAGAATAAACTAACCTTGTCATCTTCAACTACACAGCAGATTTGGAGCTTTTTGATGCCAAAAGCGATGGGCACTAATTTGGATGCACCCCACAAAAGGCCATCTACTTGAATACCTTTCACCAAAGAGGTAAGTTCTTCCATATCTACTTCATCATCCCATGGTTTCACATCGAGGGTGATACTTGATTTTGCCACCACGATAGGCTCTAAATAAAATAAAAGTTGTATATACAAACACTTAATAAATAATAATTAACAAATTCCATGCCGGTGAAGAAAAATATAGTTAAATACAAGTTTATTAATGATTGAGATGTCATTTTACAGGTCTCGGAAAGTTTCTTTATTATCAGTGCATATTAGTAGCAGTGTAATCACACGTCGCAATCAATTGAATTCAATCAGAATTTCATACAATCTTACTTCACGAGAGAAAAATTAAACTTAGAATTTTCTCTACTCTCATGAATGAATTCACAACGGACTCGTTGATGTAAAACATTAATTAGTAACAAATACAATAAATCACACAATTGTTGTAGATCTTGTACTATTACACTATAGTATTGTGCCGTCATGAGTCTTATCACGAAAGTTTAATAGCTATCATGAAAGAAATTTAGGTTGGAGTTGAATAATCTACAATTCGCAGACAATCGCTTTGCAATGTATGAGCTTTACACATTATGGAACAAGCTTTTTTATAATCAACTAGAGTATTACTCAAACAGCTTAGACTATTTAATGAAACCAAGTTTATCAGGATGACTAGACCACGTCTTGAGGACGTTTTTACCTACCTAAATGAAGTTGTACTAGCTTTATCAAACTCTTAGTTATTTGATTAGATGATAGCACTAACTCATCAAATCGATATCAACTTGAATAGCTTAGGGTCTTTCAAAATGCAATCATAAAATGTAATCAGTGAATGCAATGGAAAACGCGCTAACTATTATTTAGGATAAGCCAGTGTAAGACTTCATACAAATACAGATCACTTGACGTAAATACATCGGCATAATATGAAGGAATTTAAGAAGACGAACGACAAATTTGGAACCACATCAGAATCGTTATCAGAATGGGTTTTTTAAATAGTTTAAATACAGAACATAAACCATATTATTTTGCATTACTGCTATAGTATCTATTGATCAGAGAAGCATAAATACCCTTGTTTTACCTTAATTGTGTTACAACACTACAATTGCCTATTGTAGAAACCGACATAACTGAATGAATTTGTACAGCCGATAAGGTAAGCGTATAAATAGTCGCATGAATAATCATAGGTAATGCGTCAATACTTCTTAACTTTCAACTGACTTATAAACCAAATACGTTTCGTATACCTAAATTCGAGTCACATTTAAGGTAAAGTAGGAACTGAGTTCCGACTAAATGGCAGTAAGTTTAATACCTTATATACTGAAACAGTGTGAATGAAAAAACTCAGCCAGCTTTATGTGTCCAAATGGTTGGATTTTAAAATTTTAACTTACTTAGAGCTTTTTTTGCAAGGTATGCGGCTTCTCTCTCACTCCTGATACGCTCAGCTTCTTTATCCTCCTGAAGTTTGAAAAATTTTAGTTACATACCTCGCTGTCTGAAGCAAAAAGATCAAGCTCTGAATCTGATTTTTCTCCAACTACATCATGAGATTCATTACTCAACTTCATAGTGCTTATGCGCGATTCCAGATCTGATATGCGACTAACAAGACTGGTAACAACTATATGAAAAGTGTGATTATTATTATCATTGAAATTAAACACAATATTTGACAAATGAAAAAGAAAAACCTTGACGGTTGTGATCACGAGAAACGAAATAACGACGAATAGATTAGTAATTGATACCATTAATTCTTTAGAAATGAAGAGTGCGCTAACCCTTGGTTGTAATATCAATGCGTCCAAGGAGGATGCGGTTTCATTTGCATTCATCAAAGCATATCGAAGCCCAGACGTGAGCTTCAAAAGAAACACGGATTTCTTATCCATATTTCTACATGTAGGTGGTGATTGTCTTGTATTGATCTTTCATTATAAGACCTAAAGTCCGTGTATCAATATCCAAAGTTGTTACTTGTTAAATTTAGCCGATCTTATATCTTAATTTCTTAAAATGATCGTCATTTTGTTCCGAGAAGTAAAATTTCAGAAATCTATCGTGTTTTTTCACTTAATAAGGATTCTATCACTAGCTTCCAGTCATTCATTGGAGTCTTAGGATGTTCGGAAATAAAATAGCTTACAATGGAATTTAATCATTTCCTCTAAACTGAGGTCATTATTAGTTAGTTATGCGTTAAGCACTACAAGCCACTGTTTACTAAGTGCACAACAACGCCTAACTATAGCGTAAATTAAGAAAAACACATCGATCAAAGAATTAAGTTGAATTAATCTACCAAGTCACAGGAATTCTTAAAGCCGCAGAAGTAAAATCGAGGCTTGAGGTTGAAGTCAACAAAAATTGAACCAGTAGTACCCGAGAACTTCTAATATGAAAGAAAACATCAGTATACAATGAGAAATGATGACAATGATAAATCTGTATGGAAGCTTATCCGAATAGTCAGAGTTCGTAAGTGATGAATATAAATAGGATAAAAGCGGCTTATGTAGAATAAGACGAGATAGAGACTGAAGTCAAAAGAACAAAGTGTAAGTTAATAAACAAATAAGTCACATTAAAAAAAACCTATCCTATCAATTACCATCGAGTAATAGAAAATTTGGCGAAATCAATAGTATGGATTTTATTTACTACACGACTTATAATATCACAAACAGAATTTTGAAATGCGCAGTTTTCATGTCGTCATACAGTCGAACTTTTTTATTAAATAACAGTCGCACCTATATAACTTAAAGTCAGTATAAAAATATCATTACCGGAGGGGACGACTTACGTTTTTCAAGTTCATCAAGACGTCCAACGTCGAAAGGTCGCGATACAGCAACCTAAGGAAGTAGAAGACATAACGGAATCTCGATTTATAAAAGCACTTCTCGAAGTGGCAAAATAATATGAAACATCCATGATTCACGTGCACTACGGAAAACACTGTTCTCGACCTCGGTAATGGATGATAGTGCGACTGATGATATGCCTTGTGGATTAACAAACCTCATTAAACTACGATGTTGACAGTGTCGATACGTTTCGAAAAGGTAAACCTTTGAACCAACATACATGTGAGCAGTGTGATAAAACTTCTTTCCTAAGCTTGTTAACCTTCGGTTACCTCAGTTTGAACTAGAATTGATATCACCACCCTCACTAATTTTTCTGTATAACATATTTTTGATATGCTGCCGAAAACTACTCCACAGAGACCCATGAACATTTACAAAAAACTTTATCAACAACGAACACAAATGACTTATTGGTGATTCGTGAGTATTAATCGGTTAAATGAACCGAGTCAATTACGACGCATCATCTAGAGACATTGGAGACTAATTTTTGGACGAACTAACGAAATTACATATAGCAAATCTTGGACTATGGCGCGAAATCCACAAATTCAAACGATTAAATAGCGTTTTAGTATTATAGTTGGTGTCAGTTTGTAGTGAAAATTCTAACCCTAATTCTCTGCACTAATTTACGATTCTCTTTAAATCTCATCAAGTAAGTATTCTTGCCGAGCTTTTTTCCTGTTAAAATGATTAATTAAATATGATATAAATACCTTTGATGTCACAGGATGAAATGCTTCAATAAGAATTTCTTCTGCTAAGCATTCTGTTTTTTCTCCTAAGAAAGAAGACTGGACCACATACAAAATCAAGTTAACTCTCTTCTTTTAGAGATACACAAAAAATGGAGAAAAATCTAGAAAGCCGGATTATTTATTTAAAACAATATATCTAGGTGCTTGAAAGAACGTTGAGATGAAATGAGTTCATTTTAGATTAAGTGGTAATTCTGTTGGGAAACTGGCGAGTGTATAATTTATGTACGAAGCAACGAGGTATTTGACATGTCTTAGATTTCGACACGAAGATCATTCATCCACTTAGATAAAGTTTTGGCATTTTAGCTGTCAGTTTGTGAAGAAAACCATCAATCTAGTTTATAACCTTGATCAATTGTAAGCCATAACTCTAATTCTCTACAATACTTTATAACTCTCATTTAGTTTTAGTTGGGGTAGACATTTTCAGTCACTTTAGAGGCGCTTAAGGGTCACTGCTAGCTAACCATCGACCTCTGGTTATCGATTCGGATGTTTATACACACCACAAACTAGATCAGCAATGTAAGGATGCTGTCCTAGTTTTTTGTAGGTATGTTAATATTATAGTGAGCAGCAAACCAAGTGCGCAAAACATACGTACAGAAAACTAACTTTGAGTCTGAAATCAATAATCGTAAATATTAATACCAAACATCACATTTTGATTAGTTTATTAACATTAAACAACTGTCCGAATACGTACCCAACCCTATCTCTCCATTTTGGGGAAACTGTGGAATTTTATGTAAGTGTTGGATAAGCTGCAAACTTTCGGGAAAACACCAAAATTTCCCCAAAATACGGAGATAGGGTACCAGATAGCAAGTTTTTTGGGTTTTTAACCTAGCAGTTTATTTGACACACTTACGCGATCCAAAGATGTTTTGATATGCTCTCTAGCTTTCTGAATTTCTTGAGCTAAAGACCCCGTTTTCTTGAAATGTTAGCGAAAAAACTACAGAATACCAGCGTTTCCGGAGCTTTTGATTGAGTAGATGACGACAGATGAGATACATAAGCCTTCTCGATATCCGGATAGTCAGGAAATGTAAGTGTCTGTGCACCCATAAGTAGACCCGCTTCCATTTCGATCACGCCACGAACAAACTGAATATCCCTCGGTTACTCAATATTCAAAATGCGCCTGTGAAAAATTCGGGGCGCCCTTTCTATTGAGCATAAGTATGTGTTAAACGTTATTCCAGTAGCTAGAAAGTGAATAACTTGGATACACAACAAACGTGATAAGGGCTACAATTTTCATATTACAATATTCACTCAGGTGAAATTAGAATTTATGAACCAATCAATCATATTTAGGATAACAGATCTTAAATCTCGGTGCAATTAAAACATGCATTTGTCTAAATAGCGTTTGGGCATACTAGCTTATGTCAGTTCGTGATGAAAACCATAAATCTCAACATTTTTATGACAAGTAGTTATACAAACCCATTTCTTTGGAGTTGCAACTTAATCCGAAAAAAAAAACATTTTTAAATATTGTCTCGGATGTGGCAGTCGATTAGATTAATGAATGAAAGAATGTTTTCTTCACGGTTAAGGAATGGGTTTGTAAATATCACGGATACATCGTTTAAAATCATTTGAAACTAACGGTCCAAAAGCCAAAAAACGGATGTCAGGAATGGTGGAGAGCGATGAAATATTGAAACTCAAGATTGATATGCCGAATTCATTTCGAGGCCCAGACCGATGCTTTTAAACGTTATTTGAGGCGGATCGTCGACGGGTCACCTTCGTTTAAGGTTGCGTCTAACAAAACCAAGGAGGCCAGAGTCAGTATGTTAAAGGTGGACGAAGCTACGGAATCTATTCACTGCTTCACTACTCAAAAGTCTTCCGACTAACTACTATGCCCGCAAATATATTGATATTGTTAAGGGTGGAAAGGGTAAGATCTCGCTTTCCAAATTCAATAAAATAACACTGCATGTGCAGCCACAAACACAGAAGTTCTACTCACTACCCTCTCGCATCAACGCTGTTGTTTGCGAAATTGAGAAAATTAATGGCGAATCTCCAACGCACCAGCCTGGTTTGTGGACACGGATGGTCCACCAAAGGGAGTCCAAAAGCCCCGGTTTCAAAACAATGGTATATAATAGCTTCAAGATCCCGAGGGATCAAAAGACGTATGAACCTATTTATAGACTTCGACTATCATCGGACTACACATATCGTTGCTCCACCTATGTCTCAGAGGCTCGGAGTGTGACTCCTAAGGATAACCACCTGTTTCGGTCTGGGCATCTGTACTCTAGCTCTCACATAAATTGAATGACAAAATGCGGTGCATATATGTTATATGCCCTCTTGTTTATGTGTTTAAATGAATAATAATGACAATGCAATCAAATATACATTGTTAAATTGAAAATAAGAATGACGCTGTAAGACGAAAACATATTTTAGTGAAAAAAGTATATTTTCAGGAGTAAATCGGAAGTAACAATACGAAATGTGGTAATAAAATAGGAAATAGGAGAACTAAATACATATTAACCTATTTTTATGAATAATCATGCCTGTTATATTTTTACTGGCATAAAACACTGACAAGTAATATCCAACCAAATCTAACTTGAGCAATCATATATATATATATATATATATATATATATATATATATATAGCTCAGGGACTCATTTATACAAACAACAGAGAGGTGGACATTGATGTATACTCAAATGATGGTGTGACAAATTCAACCGATGTGTATATTCGGCAGGTTCTTTTTTGCGTACCACTGGCTGAGTAAATATGGGTAACTAACGTTCCTTCTGTTATTTTGTCCCTTATTTTTACTTTATTATTTTGTCTTAGAAACTCAGGAGTATGTGAAATTAATGATTTTAAACCATGCGACATGGTATCATGAAAGTCTCCACCTCTTCTAGAGCTTCGCCATCAAATGCGGTTGGGTTGGCCATGCCGATTACTCTGATTGTTGGTGGAGTGCCAGTTATAGGAAGGTCTGTGTGTAGCGCTTCAATTTCCGTTGGGTTCAGTGAGGTTAGTTTATTCAAGAGTTCCTCGAAGCGTTCCTCAAAGAGTTCCACCCACCAGTTCCTCTGTTCTTGAGTGTGAGTGATTCACTTGCCTTCTTTGTCTGTGACCGGTCATTCTGGTTTCCCTGTCAGTTTCTTCGTTGTGTCATATAGCTGTTCCACATTTTCTTATGCAGCAGCTTTTTCCACTGTCGTTGTTAGGTTTTAGATGTATTTCTTCTTATCGTCTGTAATGCTCTTCTCCGCTTACTTGTTTGCATCTGTGTATTTGAACTGTGTCTTGATTTTCTCCCCTCATTTACAGCTATTGCAAATTGCTGTGTTTTGTACTTATTTACTCGAATTTTTCCAGGGTTTCGGCGGAGATCCATTTCTTATGACGATGCTTCTTGAGGTTCATAAACCTCTGATAAGTTGACATTAGTGCATCGTTGGTTTCTCCACAGTTGTCCTGTATAGTGGTTTCTTCTTCTTTGAGTAGGTCTTGTAAAACTTGGAACTTGTTGTTGAGATTATCAGTATGTCGAAGGAGGGCTGTATTGAACCTAGCTAATAATGATTATCCAGTTGTTCAGTGCTCTTTCAGCTTCAGGTTCATCTTGGTAACCATCGGATGGTGACCTGAGGCCATGTCAGCTCCTCTTCTGTTTCTCACCTGTTCTATAAATCTTCTGAATATTTTAGTGATGCAAATATGATCGATTTGGTTCTCTGCAGAGTGATCAGGAGAGACCCATATAGCTTCGTGTATGAGTTTGTGGAGAAATACAGGGTCACCTACAACAATTTTGTAGAATGCACATAGGTTTGCAAACCTCTCGTCATTCTCGTTGTTTTCTCTGTGTCTATTTCGACTTGGATGTTGAGGTGTCCCATCCTTTCCTGAACACAATAGTGGATAACATTCATTGTCATTCCCTCCTGTTTGATTCGAAGGATGGTTTGATGATGATGAATCCATGAGATTCGTATCATACAAGTGCTTTCGTGCTTCTTTGAACAGAGTGAGGGCTTCATTCTGTGTGCACGGTGCATTCGCTTCTTCGTGTCTAGAGTACAGCAGTATCTTTCTCGAATCTATCGTTTTCTGTCCAGCTTGACTTCAATAGGTTTCATTGAATGCGAGCACCAAGAAGTTGTACCCCTCATCCCCGTAGCTATTTGATTAGTCCTCTCACATTGTCCGGACATTCCGTGTACTTCTATTGGTTGTCACTCTGGTTGTTGGAAGGGACATCGGCCTCGTGACTTCCAAAATATCTAGGCGTTCACTCTGAGGTGTCATAATCCTTCTGAATGAAGATATTTTAACTCTAGGCTTTGATCTTGCCACCGTCGCATTTTCTAGCTCTAGTATCACCACATTGTAACCGTTTTCGTAGTTATGTCGTGCGATATCTACGGTTTGTGTTTGAAACTTAAGGCCGACGAGAGTATACAGAAAAAGTATTGAGACGTTTATGCCTTATATTGATCTTTAGACTTTTGTAATTGACATCGTTCCATCGTTATTTTACCAGTAAGTTGACTTGCTGTGACTGATGAATAAGCGGATTCCTGTGCATTTGCCTTTTCATTAGTTCTGGTACCGTAGTTGGAGATAAATAGCTACACCGTGTTTAATGCCCTGTAAAGACGTCGATATTTTGATCGTGACATTTGGTTCCAACAATGAGGCATTGTAATTCATCTAAATGAAGATCTTTCAACCAAGATGGCAGAGTTTTTATGGTCTAATAGTTTTTCCTGGTTACGATCATTTTAATGTGGTTATTTTCTGCACGATAGGGTTGCTGTTTCATGATGATTAGAAGTATTTGAATTATAGTATAAACTAAGAATCCCAGAAATAGCGCAGTCGGATCAGGATAAGGACGGACAGATGTACTGTATTCGGAATTCGAAATCAAGCATTTAACAAGTACAAAGGAATCATTACTTTATTCAAACACCACATCCGCCACAGCTTAAATTGGAGTCTAAGTGTCTGTAATCAATTGTACATCTTCTTCTCAAGTTCATCCTGTGTCTACCCGACAGAGTATTGGATAAAGACTCTATATTATCTAGAATTCACTCGTTAGTATTAGAATTAACAACCGAAATTGGAACAGACCCACCTGGTTCTTGGAACTGTATTTGATCAACATGTCGATTGTGTGAACCGAAGTCACTGATATCTAGAAGTCGCACCATAGATTTCCCGACATTCTTCAGAACAATCCTCGTGGATGGTCAAGGATCATTTCCACGATAATATGTGACATCTGCAGACTACAAACATCCCATATTCGACCGAAGAATTCTTTCTTTTAATAGTTTTGATGGAGTCTCTTTCGTCACCGAATGTCTGGCATTTCTATATTGCAGGAGAAAGGTATCTACTCTGCTCTCCAGCTCAATAAATGTTGAGGCAGCAATAGAATCAATAACAGTTTTCAACGTCCTGACAAAATTTTCTGCCTGATCATTGGAACAATGATGTCTGGGAGCAGTAAACAGATGTTTGCACCCTATACTATTTAACCAGGTAGTGACTGCATCTAGAGCAAAATGAGAACCGTTATCAGTCACTAACTCCATGGGGACCCCTTCTTGACTAGACACCTTTCTTAATGCTTGAACTGTGAAGTCAGAATTTGGTGAAGTTGTGAAAAAAACTTCAGGCCACTTTGAAAAAGAATCAATAACTACAAGCGCATGGTATTTGGACCACAATAGTCTGTATTAATTCTCTGCCAGGCCTCAGATCATACGGCCATGGAGTCAACTTTGAATGTTGATTTTTCAGCTTACGACACTTTTCACAACTGTTTACTGCACGACAAATATCTGCATTTATCTCTGGCCACCAACACGTGAGCCTTGCCAAGGACTTCATTTTCCACTATGAAGTTCTCTAAGGATAGCATCTTTTAAGTAAACTTTCGAGAACACTTTAGGACCATAAAATCGATTCAGAATATCTTCAGCCTCCACCATCGTGCACGTTTGCTTCAACAAACGGGAGTTTAGTGTTAATCTATAGTCACTTCATATTCTAGGCGTCTTGCCATCCAACTTCAATGGCGTAATAATAGGAGTACCCTATGTTGAAGACCGAGTCGGTTCAATTATACCTTTCACGCACAAATCGTTCAATGTCTTATGTGCTGCCACTCGAAGCTCATTGGGAATTATTCGTCCTTGAAGATAGACTGGATCACCCTATATTCGAAGTTTAATGGGCTGAATTTTCATACCTCTACTACACTTAGCACATGCAGTGATCAAATCTTCAAGAAAAGCATCAGAATTTTCTTTGGAATCGAGTGAAGACAACTCCACACTAAGCCTTTTCAAATTCTTTAAACCCAGTATGGACAGTCCTGTTTCGCTAACTAGAAATTCACAAGGTATGTACGAAGAATTATCATCTCTTATTAGCGATTCACAACGTCCACGTATGGGTAGTATGTGTCCAGTAATCCCCGAAATTGAGTCTTTAGTGGGTCGTACCATAACGTTAGGATCTGAAAATTTCGAGTTTTTGGATGAAATAATAGACTCTATACTGCCTGCTGCCATAATAAAGTCATGGAATGAATCAAGGGATGTAAATAATCGCTTTTGAACATGAGCATTAGCTTTCGAAATGGTGGACAAAGATAAATAATCATCGAGAACAGCCGAATTGTTGGGATCTAAATTAAAAGATTTAGTACTACTTGAAGCAAAATAAATAGCAGCTTTGCATACTGACTGAATGTGCCAGAGGATAAACATTTATCAAACTTCATCTCACCTTTATGATTCGCTTTGTTATTCTTTGGTGAAATACCCTTCATATACACGAGAATTGGAATTATTATTCAGCGAAAGCTTGATGGATCCTGAAATTCTATTTCATCATGACGACTAAGCAAAGTATTAGAAATTTTCATGGACTGGATATCAAGTTCGTTCACTGCCTAGTAGTTAATACATGCAGTTCTAGCACCTTAAAAGGTACAGTTCGGAAGTCTTAACAACTATCTTTCCAGACCCGGTATGTGATGAAGAGATTAAAATAACCATATTGCAACCCTAATCAGTGATTAGACAACACTGTGTATTAGAGTGAGTATTTATTAACACAGTACACTTTCACTTCCAATGGTAAACTTATTTCTCATCTTAGACTCTTGGATTTGAGACGTCCGTTCTTCAATATATTATATACACTTCTTTCGTGCTGCCGAACTTTAGTTAAATCCGATCTGTCGGTATTTATTTTTAGAATTTTGAATTACGCGTATCCACATTCCTTTGAGAAACCTCGTCTTTAACTATTGACCGACGTTTTAGTCTATCTTTTCAAAACACTGTAAATGTAATTGCACAGTGGTGTATAGTTTAGTGAAAGGGTAGATTAAAGGTGTGGAGCAGTTTTACCACTAATTTGCTGACTATGTTTTTGGAGGATCATAGTATTTTGTAATCTATGGAAATTCACCCAAAGGAGAATCGTCTTACCTAACTCATGAAATGTGTGAAGTGAACTTTTGAAATAAAGAAGTCAAGAAAATGTCACATCCACTCAGTTACAGGCGGACAATCATCCGAATGAAAACAAGTAGATAGGCAATAAGTCGACCCACTACTCATCTCTATAGTCTTATGCACATAACAGACCGTAAATAAAATGCAGGAAGTAAGTAGTCAAGCAAGTATAGTTTAACCAAAGATGAGCACACGTGCACATACACACGCAAGTATAAGGACTTTGAAAGTTAACGTACTAATAATCGGCAAGAATGAAGTGTACATAATAGATCGTCGTTGTCATTATAAGGAGTTTCTGTAGAACAATACACAGTTAGATGTTATCAGTTTTCTATCCAAGAGAAATGAGTAGCCTTTAAAACAGAGGATAGTGACCAGCATATGGTTTTCTTCACGATACACCAGATACAACAGAATCGGTCACTACTGATAACTGGGTATCTCCAAACGAAATAACTTAAATTCATAGAAGGATAAAACAGTGATGGATGAGAAGAAATATATATATTATACTGAAAGTAGAGGTAGGGGAACATATATCGTCTAAACTGTTCATCTTACTTGCTTACGACTGTTACTCCTCGTAGAGTATAAGGCGCTGACTGGAATTCTCCAACCAACGCATCATAAGCAGTAAAAGCGTTCCACATTAAATCGCCGGATCGTCAGGTGGTGATACTGGATATAGCACCTTCAACCAGATACTGCACGCTGATACTAGTAAGGTCAGTGTTAATCATGAGTGCTTATAGAACCATTTACTTTCGGAAATTATTTTACACAGCCTTCTTATTCGAATGTAATACGATTGTCAAAACTGTGTTGAACATGTTTCTATAGAGCTTGAGGGAATTTTGGCATTATATCCATACTGTTTTAAAACATTTAGCTGCAAACGTATATTATTTGCTTTGGCATGTGCAAGTGCTTCTAACGAGTAGGGGTTCAATTTCCAGCGAAAACTATGCAAATAATCACAATCAGCGCGTTACCAACTGACCAATGAGGATTTGTTACTTCCTTCAATTTCTATCCCATCCACAACCAGTTTGGGGAGTGGGGTAGTCGCACTCATATTCAGTAAGCCTTGATGCTGTGCGTCTTCTTTATTCTTAGGATATTTATCTATACCTGGTTATAAAATGTACAATTTAAAAAAACGTCCAACTTTATTTTTCTTTAGGTGGGGTCGACTACGCACAGATTTCGCTTAAAAACAAATTTAGTCTGATTGATATAGGACTAAATGGCCCTCGCGGAATTTAGCATATAAGCTACAAGCGAGCTCAGTATTTTAACAACTGGTATTCGTTCTCAATCTTGATTACAGTACGAATTATTTATTTCCCAAATTTCACAGTATTATATGTAATTAGGCTATTAGCTCTTTTTCCTAACAATGATTGTGCACACGTTTGTAACAGTGAGTACAACGTTTAGATCATATGGTCTATGCATATGTTATAACATCATCGTTCTTATAAGAACGACTAGTTTTATCGTTATCTATTTGGGTGAACATTTAAACTTAACAAGTCTCTTATAAGTGCTGGTTTTTGCTATTAGTGACAATAAAACCACACTAACATGGGTCATCAAATCAGTTACACCCCAAGTCATTGGAATTTACGATATTCTTCTTGTATAGTTTACTCCATTGAACATATTACAGGTATTTCCCATAGGTTGCAGCGCATAGTGACAATTGATTTATGTCACTCAAGTGGACAGCGATAGTTAAAAATGTCCAAAACGTATACTCAACTCCTCATAGGATTACTGTTACCAACTACTGCGATTGATTAATCTTTTTATTTCAGAACCTATAATTGCGACGATGTTACTAGGTTCCGAGCTATAATGTTCATTTACACGCTTTGCATTTCATTCTATATTTTATTTATTTATTTATATTTATATTAACACAGATATTGGTACAAGGAGGCAGCAAATATATATGCGCCACACGGATCTCATTTGATATATTCGAAATACCTTTTCACTGTGTATCTTGTGTACCTCATGATCATAAAATTCCAACCTAATTTATTAACACGTGCAATAGAAACTACTGGTTATTTCACTGTGAAAGTGATGTTTCTTGTCCTCATAAATTAATTTAGTTGTTATACACTGAGAACAATGCGACTGATTTAATTTAGGCTTGAATATACCTTAAACTGATTCACTCCATGTATGAATATATATATATATATATATATATATATATATATATACTTCTAGCTTAGTCTAACGGATTTCATTTTAGTCGTCTGAAAGTCATCACCCCATCATTAACGTCGTATTCCATAAATAGGAGACAAAAAATTCAATGCAAAAGTTAGTCTTCAGAATGACTGTTAGGTTTTCGTTCGGTGTTATAATCACTACTCACAACCGTCGGAACACGCTCTACCTGTTGCAGCACTTTAATTCGGTCATCAAATGTACTATCATGTAATCAGCTTTAAATCATACGTCCTGTGTATGGGTTATTTATGTCTCTGGAGTAGGCTATGGGGATAGAAACTAAGAGTCGTGTTTTAACCATTAGTCCACTACTAAATGCTTCAAGCTTCGTTCAATAGTTAGCATGTAACAAAAGCAGATAACTTGATTTTTGAACTTATAAGCTAATATTTAAAAGTTGAGCTCTTTATCTACTTAACCTTACTTTATTATCTCGTTTTTGTACTATATTACACACTGATAATAACATTGCGCATAAATTCGATCATTCCACCTAAAGACTAGCATATAATACGTTTAGTTGCAGACATTTTTGTGAATTTAAATAGTCCAGTGGCTGATTTGTTCCTCAAAGACGGATTTTGCGAATGTCCTCGACCATACATTTTAACGCACACTTTTCAATAAAGTAGGTAATCCCTGTATTTGCCTAGTTACTCATTTAAAAATGATGTGACTTTTTCTCTGTTTCATATAGTTTCTATTTTCAAGCCACTGATAAGGGTCTTATGTACTAACGTTGGAAATTGATAATTTATGTTGCACTAATCTTTGTACTAAATAATATGCTTGTCAAAGTAAATACGTGCATATATACCTGATTATGGTACACTATGGGAAAACTCATAGTGGACAGGAAATTAACAAAAGAATTGAAATTATCCGCACTCAGGCAGTACCCCAGCTCTCACACGAATCTAATGGCTTATGTGGCGCATATCTATTTGGTGCCTCCTTGTACCAATGTTTGTATTTAAATAAATAAGAAAAACTAACTTTACTAAGTAAATATAAAACAGAAAAAAAGGATAATAACGTAGTAACCTTCAGGAGAAAATTGGCAATAAATTAGTCTTTACCTGTGAGGGTGACCTGGTCTACGTAGCAAAATTCCTCCGATAATTCATTTCCACTATCGTAGATGTGAATTATAAAGTCGAGAAACCCCTATATATATATTGCTGATGGAGATTTAATGAGTATTTCACTAATTTAAGCGACTTGAGGTATTTTTTTGTCTTTACTCCCATTCACGAAAGCATACATGTTTAGATAGGCGATTATTAGATGTATCTAACGTGTCTCACCTCTCTCGACGCTATTTCATATCATCCATCAGGTTACCCTTTTATGTGGCATTTTTTCTTAATATTATCATCATAAATTAAGTATTATATAAGTGCCTTTGTTAAATCTTTCTGCAGATTTCGAATTAGTTTGTAAATCTGTGTATACTCAATTATGGGGAATACTCCGGCTCATTATAAAAGACGCTTTTCTGGAGACGTTTGTGGCCGACTCCCTAACTCAACACCACCTGGTGTCAGTGTTACTATCCCTCCACCGAAAAAACGAAATACTCATAGTCTGACAGTAAGTAACTTTTGATTACTTATTCAATAGGTCGATAACTTGTTTATACTGTGTAAATATTCGTTAGCAATTAGGCTAGTGAACAAGCTTGAGTGATTTTATGTTTTATAATAAAACAAATTCTTAGATTATTTATATGAGTGGCTTATATATTCATGTTCATTGTTTACTTTGATGTAAACTTCTGAGCGAAACAAGTATAGAATTAGATCAAATACTTATCAATCATGATACGTAGTTGTGCCGCATTATAAATGGTGCTAGCAATATTAACCATCAACTTGCTACCAAACAACTTCTAATGTATTATTAATAAAAAATATGAGACGTATCAGTTCATTCTTATATGGCTAATCGAATGTGGATGCTACTGAAGGGCCTCGGACTAAATCTTTGCGTTGGATGTTTTTAGTTTCTTGTGGTGATTCTCTTTCATACTGTCATCAGTCTTTTTAGATCCAGCCACTTGTAGGCAATTTAGGACCTGGTCTAAATGCATTTATATCATATTTAGGAAACCTCACTTCGGAAAAGTGAGAAAACCGAAAAAAATACAGAAAGAAGCAAAAGAGAAGAAGTAATATGAACCATCGTGTAAGGTTAGACAAAGAAATACGTGCTTAAAAAAGGACAAATAAAATTAAAAAACGTGAAGCTTTTAATGATTATGAGATTAGCCGGTCAGTCATAATCAACGTCGAGCCTAACTCATGTGCTCTAGCCCGTTTCTATACCAATATTTTCATATAGATATATGCACGGACGCTATTGCAACTGATTTTAAGCCGTGTTACCAAATGTCTACGGCTAGATATTATGACTATCTCGCCGTTCCTAACCACCGAGTTTAGATCTACACACACGAACTTCACGAAGCGATATTATTTCTTCGCTTGGTTGCCATTCATCTTCTCCCAGCCTACTCCCATACCAATCACTATTACTCATTTCACTGGCAGTGGCTAGATATCGGTAGCACATCTCAATCACGTGAATTGACGAAAGTTCAATGCTTCATCAATCAACTTATCTTTCCTACCTAAGGCCTTAAACCTTACCTTAAACGATAGCTCCACCATATACAAGCAATACCACAAATACACCTATAATCAATTAATCTCAATTTGTTTGTCTTCTACATTCATAGCGAATGGTTTTACTGTCTTGATTTTATTGTACTTGCGTTTCCTAAAAAATCTGGGTTGTAAATATTTTTCAAAGAAACCAAACGCTAAACACCAAAATTTACATAGTTAACTCAGTAAATTATTGGTCATATCTATCTAGAACTCGTTTAAGTGTGCTAATAAATTGAACAACCCACAAAAAAATATTCCTAATTATTCCTTAATTCCTCATTTTGTCGAATAATAAATGTATAATCTAGTATGGTTTCAGTTAAATGAATTATTGTTTATGAGTTAAAAAAATATATATTGTTTTCTTTTGTTTACCTCTACAAACATTGTTACACACTAGTTTTAGTTCTAGCTAGTCAACTTTCACGAGTGATTTACTTGTCCGCTCGCACCCCCCTCCAATCCGTGATTTACAGATGTACGTTTCGTTTTGTTTACCATTAACAAGACAAAAGAATTCAACTTTTAGTTCCAGTTAATCAGTAATCACTATTCAGTTGTTTGGTTGTTCATTTCTTTAAAATGACCTGAACAACTTCACTAAGAATAAATTTTTGATGTGACATTTTCTTACAGTCGATTGGATAATCTCATACATATGTACGTGTATATACATCATGAGTAACCAGTACTTTTATTTCAAAATTTGACCTAATTCAGTTTTACAAAAAGAAGAGTTAAAATCGATCAAATATATCTGGCTATTTTGTGGTGTCTAATTTAAACTACACACCATAGTCTTATTATCATTACTTAATTTCTCTCTTAGGATTTATCGCGTTCTGCTCCGGCCGATTATCCTAATAATGAAATGTCAGTGAATGACGACAATGTTACTCTTAATGATAAAGATACAATCTCTATTGATGAAGCTACGTCAATGATGCGAGCTGCCAGTCTACGTGAACCTATTAATATCATCGACGCTCACGATAATCTTGATGGTAATAATCGGTTATACAATGTGTTACCACCTGGCAAAATGGTAACGTCAACAATTTCTAGTGGTGATGAGAAAATTTCCGATTTTCTCCAAGAAAGACCATCTAGTGCAGGTCCATTATATTCAACAGATGAACAAATGATGTATAAGCATGGTCAACCACAGATTATTTTACATAATGTTTCAAGAGATCGTGCAAGAACTCTACCATCCAGAAAGTTGGTTGGTTTAAAACTTCCTACTGTTTTTCGGTGGAATGGTGGTGGTAAAGATATATATATTAGTGGAACTTTTAATAATTGGGAGAAAAGAATTCCTATGGTTAAAAGGTAATTTATTTTGTGAAATCAATATCTCTTTTTATTACATTTTGCTCTTGTATTATAATAAAAAGGAATGTTATTTTACGCCTGTTTTATATCATAATTAAATTTAAGTTCATTTATAATGGTTCCAATTATCCCGTTGTTGATACCTTAACTAAAATTTGGTCAGTTTTAGTTGGTATATGTACATCCTGTGAGAATTGTCTCGATATAGCCAATTGTGACACGAGTTTGTATAGAACAGATAGAAAGTGGCTGGCAGTACAATTCTAGACGCGCGTTTCGTTTTATTTGGAGCTCCTCAGCCACATGCATCTGTATTCCATAATTAATGTACACTCTAAGACGTGAATCTATTACCTTTAGTTTCAAATGCTAACCCATTATCCAATTGGCTAATGAGTCCGATAACCACTCACTTATGCAACGGGTTTGGATTTTAATTTATTTGTAGTCCTTTGGACCATCGTATTGTTTATATTTTGACTGAAATCTGAACAGTCTTAGTTGGTATATATTCAGATACATCCAGCTATCAAGTCGCAAATAGGACTAAATGCGCATCCTCGATTCCATTACTAACCACATTCCATCTATTTTATGCAATCAAATATGTTTGAATCCAGCCATTATGCGATTAAATGACAGATGGTCAGTAAATTTTATCAGGTCAGATTATTAGGACACTGAATAATCATTCTGTTAGTTTATGGTAGCAAATTTCATCAATGTATCAGAAGAAAAGACTCTTCAAAAAAAAATATTTGTTCGAATTATATGAATCTAACCAATCAATGTAGACCGATCGATACCGTTAAACCTTAATCGGACAATAGGAAATTTAGTTTTGCATCATATAATTAGTTGAATTCGACGATGTTGAAATGCTTGGTAATTTGATTCTTTCCTACTGAAATTCTGAAGTTCGCAATACCAGATTAGTTAAATTATCTCCTAGTGTTTAAATAATTTTTCTAGCCTAGTTAATTAACTAAACAATAATTTCCATATGCTGTTAACTTGTTACGATACATTGAAATCATCTATCACTTTAATGAATATAAAATCTCAAAATGATAATAATAATAATAATAATGGCGGTAGTAGTAGTAGTAGTAGTAGTAGCAGTAGTAGTAGTAAATTTTCCGATAACTATAAATCATAACATTATAGAGGTTATAATGATGTCGAGGTTATGAAATGTAAGTATTATGTATTAAATGATACCAATATATATTCTATTCTGAATAACTGAGTTTTGATTCATTGTTTTATTATGAATATAAAGCAATCGGTTATGTGTAACAAATTGAATGGTAAACTAGTCGAAATAATGTAATAACAATGGTAATAAGAAGAAATAAATATTGAGAATATGATTCGGAAAGGCGGAATAAAAAAGTATGCATGCTGGGTTACCGGTACACGAGATCTAGAAGAAGATAAAGAGCGAATGCCTCTGCCCCATTATAACTGATTCTGATTCATATTAACTAATGTCTTCAATCACTAATGAAAGTTATCGCGTGAATACCGACCAAATTAGTTTCTACCAACCAATATTAGCTCAAATCGATAATCATTGACTTCATGGACTGATACTTTGTTTTGATTTGGTCGCTTCTACATTTTTGTTAATTTACTTCTATACCTGTCAAAATAAGATTGATAAATATGTCGTCGGAAATTCTTGATTGAAACATTAATGTTTTTTTAAAGAGAAGTATATAGTCTGTGTTTTATTTACGTTTAACGTTGCTTACCGTATAATCACTATTCAACTTGCATTAATCAATTCATCCATATTATAAGTAGTCAGTTTGTTGACATTGACTTTTTAAGTATACTAATCAGTTGTTTCTTCTAAAACAACCATTAATAAATATCGTAAACATTGAAAAGTGATATTAATGGGATTATTTTTTGAAAAGAAGTATTATAATCCATTGTTAATTCAATAACATTAATCTTAATATTTAAACAGTTTAAATACGTATGTTGTGCTTTTTAACCATTCATGATTATAAAATGCTTTGTGTTATGATAAGCTATATATGTATAATTTCTTGGGTAAAAGTTAGTTTTTCATATTCATTATTGTGCCCCAAAATGCCCTAGTACGGCCAAGAGTGGGGAGAGTTCGATCTCCCCCTCGAAATGCTCTCACATGGCCACGCGTATATAGCCTCTGCCAGGGAAGTCGTACTCACTGCCTTCTCGTGGCGGGAGTGTTGTTTACGAAATGGAGAGGACGAAAAGGGTTGGTGGACACGTAGAGTCCACCTAAGGGATTTGGAAAACCCTGATTCCAAACTAATGGTGCACATGGACTCTAGTATCCTGAACGAACAAATGGCCTATAAACCAATTATTGGCCACCGACTACCATGGGATTGCATCTCCTTACGATGCTTCACTGCCTTGTGGATTAGGCCTTTAGGTCAAAGGCTCGGGGTGTGGCTCTTTAAGGAAACCACTTGCTTCGGTCTGGGCACCCATGGAGTATCACAGCCTTCACACAAATCATATGAGATTTGTGTGGCTTACATTATTTGGTGCCCCCTTGAGCCAATATCTATATGTTCAAATAAATAAATTCATTATTGTTAAAATGTTACAATAAATATTACCAAGTTTTTGTATTTCATGATCTAAAAAGTTTTAAGTCTACTCAATTAGAGGTCACAGAATACTACTATTACTACTACATATTGGACAAGAAATATTGTGTAAAAAGACATTCACTTTCTTCAATTGATGGTTGTTTTAGTTCTATAGTTTGAAAACCTGTATATTATAATGGTACAATAGATTTGATAATGTTATGAATTACGATTTTATGAATAAATTTTCGGTCGCCTAAATAAAAGAAAAGAATGCCGATTGATAGTTGAAGTGGTCAACGGATGTCTGTTTATGAGAATGAATTATTGACATAAATCTTAAACAAGACCACTTTTTATTAAAATAGGCTTCTCATTGTAATAAGATAACATGCTTCTACACAAATATTGACATAAAAGTAAACGTGACTAGAAATCATGTAATAAATAAACGATTAAAACATATTATAACAATAGGTCACTCACTTTAGAATGAAATTAATGCCTAACTATCAGGCGTAATTCCTGCCTCATCATATCACCCCTCTAACGAAATAATATTGAATCCTTATATGGTAACCTTGGTAAAGTGGTGACACTTGATTTGTTTCATATCTTATTCAGTTTCCTTCAAAATCATATTTCTCTCCTATCTACAAAGTCCAAGACACCTCTCCTTTATTTCTTGATTCGTAAGAGGATATAATTGACTTGGTTAAATGAACTAAATAAGTTTTTTCCATGAACCATTCCTGAGATTCAAGTGATCATGTTTCAAAAGAATCAACCACTGGATAAATGACTGAATATATTAATGAATTAACACTTCCATTCTTCTCATGTCTCTCTCCGTTTCTCGGCTTAATGTGTTCATTGGTCTTCCTCTCCTCCTTCGGCCTTCAGGATTCCATGTGAGGGCTTGCCTTGTGACACAGTTGGGTACTTCCCTCAATATGTGTCCTATCTCTTTCCAGTGCTTCTTCCTGATTTCCTCCGCTGAGATCTGGTTTGTTCTCTCCCACAGTAGGTTGTTGCTAATAGTGTCTGGCCAACGAATTCGAAGTAATTTGCGTAGGCAGCTGTTAATAAACACTTGTATCTTCTGGATGATGGCTTTCGTAATTCTCCAGGTTTCCGCCCCAAACGGTAGAACTGTCTTGACATTGGTATTGAAAATCCTAACCTTGGTGTTGGTTGACAGTTTTATTGAGTTCCAGATGTTCTTCAGTTGTAGATATGCTGCTCTTTCACATCTGCATCAGATCCACCGTGTTCATCAATGATGCTGCTTAAATATGTAAAGGTTTTTACATTTTACGAATCTTCTCCATCAAGTGTAATTTGATTGGCTCATGCTATGTTGTATCGGAGAATCTTGCTTTTCCCTTTGTGCATGTTGAGATCTGCTGCTGCTACACTGGTCGTCTTCTCCTGCATTTGTTGTTGTATTTGCGATAGAAGAGCCAGATCATCTACGAAGTCTAGATCATCCAATTGCATCCTATCTGTCCACTGTATCCCGTGCTTCCCTCCACATGTTGACGTCTTCATGATCCAGTCGATCACCAGGAGAAAGAGAAAGGGTGAGAGTAAGCAACCTTGCCTGACACCAGTCTTTACCTCGAACGAGTCTGTCGGCTGTCCTCCATGCACGATTTTGCAGTTTAATCTATCATAGGAATTCCGTATGATATTGACCGTCTTCTCAGACATGCTGTAGTGTCGAAGAAGCTTTCATAGTGTTGTCCTGTCCACGCTATCAAATGCTTTTTCTTAGTCAATGAAGTTGATGTAGAGTGATGAATTCCATTCAATTGATTGTTCCACAATGATCCGTAGAGTTGTGATTTGGTCTGTACACGATCTATCTTTACAGAATCCTGCCTATTGGTCTTGAAGTTGTATGCATACGGATTCCTTCATCCTGTTTAACAATACCCTGTTGAAGACTTTTCCTGGTATTGAGAGAAGAATGATGCCCCTGTAGTTGTCACAGTTGCTGAGATCGCCTCTCTTTGGTATTTTGATCAAAAGTCCTCCTTTCCAGTCTTTTGATGCTTGTTCTTCATCCCAAATCTTATTGAAGAGAATGTGGAGCATCCTTGCAGTTACCGCTACGTCTGCTTTCAGTGCCTGTGCTGAAATGTTGTCTGGTCCTGCTACCTTGCCGCTCTTGATTTGCCTGATGGCCATTCCATGTACCTAAATAAATGGTTGCTCTGGTTATCAGAAAGGGCATCAGTCTCGTGACTTCCGAAGGAACTTGGCTTTCATCATGAGGCGCCATAACTCTTCTAAATGAAGACCTACTGACTGCCAGGGCAGAGTTTAAATGGTTTTAATAATTTTTTCTGGTTAGCGTTTTTTAGCGAGTTTGTTTTCTACGGGATGGGGTCTCTAACCCCATGCCCAACCCTCCCCCTTTATCCGGGCTTGGGACCGGCAGCAGCCCCCGGAGGGGCTCCAGGCGAGGCTGAACAGAACCAATGAATATTTAAAAAATATTTTGAAAATTTGTTTCCTCATTGGTTATGTATCCTGATTTACCCTCCTTGTGGAATTATGTTCCTGATCACTGATATTAAAGGAGTGTAATGAACGAGAACACAAGCGGCACCAACCAAATGTATTTGAACACAAAATTACAGAATTTCTTAGGGAAATCTGAGGACCACACAGTAAATAATTCATTTGCAAAATATCAGTTAATCGTCTCAGACTCCATTGTTCCTTCGTTTCCACACCAATCATTTTCTGTTCTCGTTCTGTTTTCTTCAATTTTCTTAACCTGCAGCCAGGTATTTCACTTTCGACTGATGATACATACTACTTATATCTATGGACATCAGTAGCACACCACAAGAGTACCAGTTTAGCCTTATATATATATATATATATATATATATATATATATATATATATATATATATATATATATATATATATATATATATATATATATATAAACTTGGTTCTGAGTAAATAATTGATAAGGTCATAAAATATGTGATTGAGTTATAATGACATATTCGATGCACAAAAATAGATTGACAATGACAAGAACTGGTACATTTTTCTTGATAATTGCACATCTGTATTATGATAGTGTGAGAACTTAAACCGATGTGTATATTCGGCAGGTTCTTTGTTGTGTACGACTGACTATGTATAACTAAATTTTCTTCTGTTATTTTGTCCCTTATTCTTTTTGCATTATTTTTTCTTAGAAACTCAGGAGTTTATGTAATTATTGATTGTAAACCTGGTGTTCATCAGTATAAGTATTTCATTGATGGGGCATGGTATCATGACCCAACCAAAGTGAGTGAGTGAATAGTAAGCGAAATATTTTGGTTTTTAATGCTTTTTTTTGTTGTATAACAAATCCTTCGATGAAGTAAGATCACTGTATGACTTTCTGATATTCTTGAATTAAGATTCGAAATACGAGTCTGTCATGCATTCAGCTAAAGAGACAAAATTATTGATTCCATCAGTACTAATGTCACCCTCCTTACTTGTCTTCCCTACTACGTATCCTGACCCTGATTGATCCGTGCGACTTGCTTCTACTTTCTTTAAGCCTACCCAATGAGGGCACGAGGAAAACCGACTGATTTTTGCTTTGTATATTTTATGATTTAAAACTGACACCTCATGAAGGAGCGTAGGCTGCGCACCAAAATTCTCCACCCAACTATGTCCTGGACAGTCCTCTCCATTTCTTTTCGGTCGCCATTCATTCTATTGTTGTCTGCTTCCAATTCTCGATCAAGTGTGTTCTTCGGTCTTCCTTTTTTCCATTTCCCTTCGGGATTCCAAGTTAGCGCTTGCTTCGTGATGCAGTTTAGTGATTTCCTCATTTTGTTTCCTATCCACCTCCAGAGTTTTTTTTCCTAATTTCCCCTTCAGTTGGAAGCTGACTTGTTTACTCACACAGTGGAGTATTGCTGATGGTATCCGGTCAACGGACATTGACTATCTTACGTAGACAATTGTTTATAAATGCTTACTTTGTTTTGGTTATGGTGTTCGTATTGAATATTCTGAGTTGTTTTGAGTCCCATATGTTCTTCGATTGTAGGGATGTTGCCCTTGCTTTGCTAATTCTTGGCTTTATATTTGCATCGGATCCTCCATGCTTATCAATGATACTGTCCAGGTACATGAAGGTCTCCACCTCTTCTAGAGCTTATCCATCAAATGTGATTGGGTCGACCATGCTGATCACTCTGATTGTTGGTGGAGTGATAGTTATAGGAAGGTCTGTGTGCAGCGCTGACACGTTGACGTTAGTGCATCGTTGGTTTCTCCACAGTTGTCCTGTATAGTGGTTTCTTCTTCTTTGAGTAGGTCTTGTAAAACTTGGAACTTGTTGTTGAGATTATCAGTATGTCGAAGGAGGGCTGTATTGAACCTAGCTAATAATGATTATCCAGTTGTTCAGTGCTCTTTCAGCTTCAGGTTCATCTTGGTAACCATCGGATGGTGACCTGAGGCCATGTCAGCTCCTCTTCTGTTTCTCACCTGTTCTATAAATCTTCTGAATATTTTAGTGATGCAAATATGATCGATTTGGTTCTCTGCAGAGTGATCAGGAGAGACCCATATAGCTTCGTGTATGAGTTTGTGGAGAAATACAGGGTCACCTACAACAATTTTGTAGAATGCACATAGGTTTGCAAACCTCTCGTCATTCTCGTTGTTTTCTCTTAGTTGGTGCATGTAGTCCTATGATATCTTCACATTCGGTGTTGTCTATTGCGACTTGGATGTTCAGGTGTCCCATCAGGATGGTCAGGTTCTTTCCTGAACATATGTTTATGTACTTTTATTAGTTTTCACTTTGAGTGTTAGAAGGGACATCGGCCTCGTGACTTCCAAAGTATGTCGGCTTTCACTATGAGGCGTCATAATTATTCTGAATGAAGATCCTTCAACTTTCAGAGCACAGATTAAATGGTGTAAATTACTTTCCTCTGATTGGCGTGTTTTAGCAAGGTTTCTACCTACGGGATGTGATTGTTGAACCCACTCCCAACTCTCCTCGTTTACCAAAGCTTGCGACCGGCAGTATCCTTAGAAGAACCACAAATGGAGTTTACAACTATTTATGAATATTTTTAAGCCGGGATAAAAGAAATTTGAAATTGATAAATAATACCTGTATATGTACCTTTGTATGATGTATATGTTTGAATTTCGATAGTATATGATTTGATTTGTGAATGGACAAACAAACTTAGTGTAGAAATTATAACTGCTTTTAAAATTCAACACTGAACGATGGATTATGTTATCATATATATATATATATATATATATATATATATATATATATATATATATATATATATATATATTCGTTAACTTAAGCAGACTAGGATATATAGGGTATGATCCTCGATCAATATTCAAATCCACCCACTTGATTTCCTTCCTCACGTACCATGTGGCCTTAAGACAATGTAATCTGTCTAGATTTACAGAAATATGTCTTATTTGAACTAGTTTGGGCTATCAGCAACTCTAAATTTTCGAAGTTTGTGATCAAGTGTTAATACTTCAAATGGTTAAAATATTGACTAAAGTTTAAGAGTCGGATGTTGTTCCATATGAGACTGGTCGTGGTTGGTGATCTCTCTAGTTTATACTAAGCAACGAAAATTCCCCCATAATGTTAAAAGAATTATTTTAACTAATATGATCTCTGCAAACTTAGCTTACATAATCACTAGCCGTTCAACGAGAGCCCAAGATCAGTGAACGCGAATATAAACAAGGCAGATTGGTTGCATGAAATATTTTACTCGGGCCTGATGCCCACCTGCTGAAATCGTATTACACTAACTAGCACAGAAGCGATTTGGTATAGACTAAGACTAGTCAGACGAAGAAATAAATCACTGATGGTTAGTTTTGACTGTTAGAAAATGCAGATACCTTACCTGTCATCCGAAAGATATGACTCAGTGTCAATCTCGAACTTATACATTATCACCGTCTTCATTCTCTTAGATATTGATTTTTAAAATTGTTAATATTCCTGTTCCCGTACTTTCTAATTATTTCCTTTTTTGTGTTAACTGGAATTACGAGGATTTTGGGTCGATTCATATTTAAGCCAGGTTTAACTCAGTTTACGACTAAATAACTTTCTGAGTAAAATTCCACGATAGAAACGAACAAGTCATTTATATCATTTTCTAATTTTGTTAACGTATCATAGAATATCGTTTGTCCAGCAGTGAACAGGTGATTAATGACCTAGTCAGTATAGTATAAAACTGAATTCTTTTTTTTCGTAAACATTACTAAAAAGTACGCTGAACCAATTCAAAATGTAATTCACTCCCTTTAAATATTCATATAATACAACTCTAGTTATATTTAAAATAATCTATTCAAATCACTATTATTAGTATGGGTTCGAATTATTCCGTTGTTATAAGTTATAACGGAATATTGACTAGTCTTTGCTAACATATAGTCATTCTATCTATTTCGCTAAGTCAAGATAATCCCCGCACAATTCACATGTATTATCAAGTAAAATTAATCAAAATTCATTATATGTGAAAATTATATTTGAAATAATCTCAGCGATTGGAATCTAAATAATTCCAACGTTTCGTCCGGCTAACTTGTCTGGACTTCTTCAGGGTAATAATCAAATGATTTTTACATATAATGACTATTCTATACTCTGCACCCGATTTCTGTCAAACTATTGGTTCTAATTCTGATGAATATTCGTATAATCAAAATTCAGTTCTAAATATTGACAATAAAATAATTCGAGCTTTTACTACTAGTGTTATTAACACTATATCTGTTTTGAACTCAGTAAATTACATGTTGATGTTTGAAGCGGAATCTATTGGATTCTAGTCGCATATAAGATGAAACATATATTCCATATTCTATGGTTCACTATAAAATATCGTGGATTAGTTGAAGTTAGACATTAACACTGTTGGATGCCAGCTCAGTGGTCTAGTGGTTAAGCGCTCGCGTGCGAGGCTGATAGGTCCTGGGTTCGAATCTCGCGGGGGGTGGGATCAGGGATGTGCACTGCTGAGGAGTCCCGTACTAGGACGAAACGGCCGTCAAGTGCTTCCAGGTTTTCCATAGTGGTCTAGCTTCAATTGACTTATGATTTCAACCATTGAAATAATATATCTACGTCTACTATACTTATTACATGTGAGAAAACATCACATGTTAAAAGAAACTGAAATTGAAGAAAGCACAAGATTGTAACATTACAAACACTAATATAGTTAAACAGATTTATCATATGTTACATGAATATATTATACATTATATAATCTTAATCATTTCTTATTACAGTATGAAAAAAAGACTGTTGTAAATATGAGAATGTTCAAAGTATATAGTTCAATACAACAAATGTTATTGTCTTACTAAGTGAATAGTGACTTAAACAAAGCCGTCTACTTCATTTGTTTAATGACAGTAAAAATACAAACGTTTTAATTCCTTTTATTACATAAATTCTATTCAGTTTTTTTCCTTCTATACTCAAAGATAATCAAAGTATTTTGTAAATAAATGATGAATAATAAAACAAATTTGTAGAAATAAATAAAACCATCTGTTTTACTCCTTTTATTGAACTCAATTTCAAATTTCAACCTGTAAGACAAGCCTTTATATTTTTGTTAACAAGAAAAATGAATTATTGGCACTTCTTCTAGTTACTATGTGTAGACTGTTGGTTTTTGAAAATAAAAATCATACAAATCTATTTGTTTGTTTGTTTCTTCGTTCGTCGTTTAATGATGATCGTCAACTTTATCAATCCTCACTGTTTCTCTACCTCCTCACAAATGATTTTTATTTTACTATCTTTTTTTTCTATTTTTCCAATAGCCAACTGTAGACAATGAATATGGTACAAAAAATAATATTGTCCAAGTCAGATCATCAGATTTTGATGTTCTACACGCGTTAGAACATGATCAAGCCAGTAGTCGAAGACGTTCAAATAGTTCCGAATCTAGCGAAGTATGTTTTTTTATCTAAAAAAATTGTATGTTTATTTGTTTTGTAAAACGCATTAAATTTTGAATGTGTGTTTAAGTGTAAATGAATCATATATTTTACCTCTGTCACCAAGACATTGTATTCACGAGTGAATTCGTTTTTGAACAAACTTGTACGCAAAATAGACAAATCGAATCTCCAATGCTCTTGCGAATAAAGCTGTCAGTTGATTCAAATGGAAAGAAAATTTTGAATATAAAGGTAACTATGTAGTGATTATGTCATAGTTTATTTATGTGTGTTTCCAATATACATAGATAGTTGACTAATGAAATCCTAGCGAAATCGTTGAGTCCAATATCCTTAGTCATAAAAACTTATGCTTACTTTACCTTCCTTTCTTAAGCTTACCTAAATCACTGACTTCACAATACTCACAAGTCAAAAGAAGCAACCTAAATTCTTTAGGCCTTTATGCTATCTAACATCTAAGTCTTTGTTTCAGAAAATACTAATTTATCTGTGTTCAGACTTTAATAGACAAGCTGATCGTTTGATATTCACAATCATTATCCCATAATCACAAACCTCAATAACTAAGTACTTGTTCATGTTTAACCATCTTTTCTATATGAAATCTAATGCAATACTATCCGGATCACAAATCGAAGTAGACTAAGGAAAACTTGAAACTGATAGCTATTAATCTCGCAATCATTACCCTGACGGTTATCTCAAAGAAAAAACCTATCTACACAAAAATACATTACTTAGATTTGAACCTTGTGTTGGAAATAAGAATCTCAATGTGCCTTACTAAACATTATCATCATGCGAACCTTATTTTACTTTGTATTGTGATTAATTCATGATAGACTTTTCTTACGCAATGACAGAGGGTTGGCTCACTGGTTAAGACATTTAACATTTAACATTACAGATTCGAACCTACTTCGGTTTGGGCAACTAAGTGGTCTCACTAGCCCTTACACTTAAAGTATAGCTCGAAGTCATGTATATTAACATGTACCAGTTGAGTTGGACCAATAAATAAATCTCTAGTACAATTCAATTATGTAAAATGCGTAGAAATCACTGTTGCTAATCGGTTTTGTATACATAAGATATATATTGAACCGCTTCTAAGTTAACATTGTTTGTTAAGCATTTTTCGTCAATACAAATTGGTAATGACTTAGATTAGTTACAGGACAATTGTATCATATGATTCAATCATACCAGCTGTTTGTATTATTCACGTCAATTTTCTTTGTGAGGGGCAGGCGTTGAGCTTTTATGCATCATAGGTAATTTATGAGTTTACACATACAAAAAGGTTTCTTTTTTCTCTCTCTAAACATATTGTAGTTTTAACTTCGTGTTTTCTAATCCTTTATTTGTTTTGTGTTACTATTGATATTGAAATTGTTTTGTTGCACACTGGATTCAGTATAACTTACTTTAGGATACATAATTTCGAAGTTGTCATGTTTTAATGTTATTTTTATTCTACTTTTTGGCTGTTAAATATTACCTTCAAAAAAAGAGGATATTTGTACGGTACTTTTTCTTATCATAGATCGTGTATGTTGGGACTAATGTTAAGTTTAAACTCAAATGATAAAGTGGTTGAAGAAGTAGTGAATCTTCATCTGCTGAGGTAATTGTGATGTGTACTACGTATGATCAACTGTTTCCTATCTCGAAAAAATGTTGTTTGGTTTAGGAATGAACTGGAAGAAAGCTAGGAATAGCCAAATTAAGAATCAGTTCAGTCCATAAAGTTATTAACTTGTAGACTGAGCCGTTTAGGCAGATACAGACTACCTGATTGAAGTCCATACGATGCTCGTAACCAGTGTTTGAAAATATTGTATGATATGGCTCAGAAACAGTCGCAACTGCGTTAATGCGATCCCTCTTTTTCTGTACTTAGATTTTATACTTTTCCATCCCACGAATTCGTCCTTTATTCTATACCTAATCTTTTCTATTACCACAGATACTGTTACTAGTTGTAGAATTCTGGTATCTGTCTTTATGATTTCATTTCGCTGTATAAATTCTGTGTGCAAACTTGGACCGATAAACACATGTACTAGATTCGATGTTGCATGTGGCTAACTGACTAAATGATAGTGATAATGTTTTGTTGATGTATCAAAGTTAAAAATTGTGAGTTATCAAATTCTCGATCAGTTATTACTTTGTGATTCTCATTCAATAGACTCAATGAAGTAATAAATGTAAAGCGACGTCTGTATATAACTGCCTGAAAATTTTTTTAGAGTATAGGGAAATTCATATAATTACCGTTAAGGGATTATGAATGTAATTTCGGAGTTCAAGTTGAAATCTATGACCAGTAGACTTCAGTCTTGTCAAGTGCAAGTCAGTTATCAACCAAGCACATTACAAGATGATGATCGTGCGATATTATGAATCAATCAACGTCAAATGGATGCCGGTCCATTGGTTTAGAGTCGATGCGTTCGCGCGTGTGACCGAACGTTCTGCGTTTGATCCATTGTAGCGTAATTGTGGATCCATACTGCCGAGGAGTCCCATACTAAGACGAAACAGCTAACCAGTGCTTCCCAGTTTTTAGTGGTTGTTTAACCGAGATCGTTCCGTGATGCTAACTATGAAATTGATTTTTTCTTGGAAAGTTCTTAGAGTGTGGAAAGTTTCTAGGAACTGCCATACTATTCATGCTCTTCATTAATGTCATTAATTACTCCCAAATGCCCTGGTACAGCCGAGAGTGGGGAGAGTCCGCTTTCCCTCTCGAAATGCTCTCACGTGGCCATGCGTATATAGCCTCTGCCAGGGAAGTCCTACTCACTGCCTTCTCGTGGCATTACTGTTGTTTACGAAAATGGGAGGACGAAAACCGAATTTCCGGCGCTTTGACCGGATCCCAAACCAATGGTGCACATGGGTTCCAGTATCCTGAGGGAACATATGGCGTATGAACCAATCGTTGGTCACCTGCTACCATGGGACTGCATCTCCTGACGTCGCTTCACTGTCTTGTGGATCAGGCCTTTAGGTCAAAGGCTCGGGGTGTGGCCCCTTAAGAAAACCACCTGCTTCGGTTTGGGCATCCGTGGAGTATCACAGCCCTCACACATGTCAAATGAGATCTGTGTGGCGCATATGTATTTGGTGCCTCCTTGTACCAATATCTATGTGTTAAAATAAATAAATAAATACATTGATTAATTGGAGTATTCATCACTAATGTTAGTACCTTTTTTAAGTTTCTGTAAAACCAAGACCACTTGTAGACCAATAAATATTCTTTAATCTATACATGAACTAACTTAAACACTAAAATTCCTCTCATGTTTCCATCTAATTTCGTTTTTTTTTTCAGTAGAAGAATCTAAGTTTTAGGAGTCTAGGAACAGTCTAGTGATTCAGTGTACTAAATTTTTATTTGATAGCAACTGTTAGCTTAGATATCTTATGTTTATCGAGTTAAATTCACAAGAGAGAGGATTTATTAATATTCTATTTGTGTACATTTTCAGGTTTCATTTATCAGTTAACTTGAATTATTTGGGTTAAATTGTTTATGTACAGTTCTATTGGTTAATATTTTGTGGTATGGAAAATTTATTATTCATATCTCTCATTATCCTAAGAGAGTTTACACTTCAGTATACTCACCATTGTACAGTCTTATCTCTCCAAAAGTTTATATATAAGTGTATGAATAAAAAAACCCATAAGTCATCGATTCAAATCCTATTGCATAAGGTGTTCACACTAAACTTTACCCATCATTTTCCTACAAATTACAATGTGTATTATCTTATTATTCGCATGCTATACTATTATATATCTTACTGAAGTGATCCAAACGTATTTCAAGTCATTACTTGCTTGCCGATTTATAGACTGGCAAGATTATATTTTCAAATAAGACTATTAGTCGTTAGAAATTAACCACTAATACTTTATCCTAAACTACAACACTTTGAGAATGCACTTCGGTTCACTCTTCTTTGTTCGAATAATCGTTAAAAAAAACTTATGCAATCATGTTACATAAGTCGATCTCTAAAATATATTGGTCAAGTTTAATGTAACTGATATACTGAATACTATTAAAATTTCTGTTATATTAACCTGATTTTTTAGTAAATGTTAAACCAGATATTACTATCACATTCGAAATAAAACGTTTGTATATAAATATATGTATTATTTTCAATGTATCATCAATTTGATAGTTTAACCATTCGACATTCAATTACTGAATCACGATTTTAAATCGTGTTCTATCGAGTAATACCACTGTCAACGACATTAAAATGTATGGCTTAAAGCCTATTACATCAAATTGTATTTGGTAAATGAATTACTTCATTAAATTTAAAATTGTTAAGTATTTAATACCATATATCAGGTTTTGTTTGAATAGCATCACGTGTGCTAAGCAACTAAGCTAAAAAGACATTTAGAATAAGCTATTTACGTATACAATTAATCACAATATTTCAGCTGATAGTTTTATTTAATTTTTTTTCAAATTAGTAGAAAATACAATTTGATGTATTTCATATTGAAGCGTATAGTCGAAGACTTTTTAAACATTATATCTGGGATTTTCATCATTCATCATATCCTATTTATACTTCCAAATTTTATCAATTAGGATTAATAAAATAGTGCAGGGAGTCTTTAGAGAAATTTAAAGCAATTAATCCCTCTGATAAATTTCGATAATGTAATAAGAAGACGAAGATTATCAGAACTATGTGATGATATATTAGAGCAATACATTTCGAAAAATCTGATCACATACATATACTTGTTAAGATCATTTACATATAAAAATAAAAGGTCAACTAGACTGGAAATGGGGTAAGAGGAGATAAGGATAATAATAATAAGAGTAACAATAATAATAATAATAATAATAATAATAATAATAATAATAATAATCTAAACACAATTCAAAACCTAATCACTCTGGATAATAAGTCAATATTACCAGGGTAGGTTTAAGG